GGCGCCGCGGCGCCGCCTCTGGCGCCATTGATCCCGCCCTGCCTGGTCCGCGACGCTCCCCCCCGGCCCGTCTCCAACGGGGACCCATTGAAGGGGCGGTACGTAGATGGCCCCCGGGCTCCGGCCCCCGATCATGGCGACTCCCTTCCCCCCCCCCCTCTGCCTTCCTCTCTCCGCTCTTTCGCCCCGCCCCCTTCTCCCCACCCACCCCACCCGCGCCCCCCTCCTCTGGCAGCGGGACCAAGCGACCGACCTCGGCGCCGCCGCCGCCGCCGCCGCCGCCGCCGCCGCCGCCGCCACCGATCGCGCCCATGTCCCAGCTGTTTGCCTCCATCACGGCGGCGGTCCGGCCCTCCGGGCCCCCGCACGCAGCTTTCTTCAAGACCACTGTCCAGGAGCTGGCAGCCACGCGGGAGGCCAAGCGCAACGCGCCTCTCCTGGAGGCCTGCCAGTCGGTTGTTGGTATGTCGTGCAGCCTCGCGCCTCCCCCCGGGGGGAGGCGCGGCCCTCGGCCCTTGCTCTTTCTCTCGGCCCCTGCCTCGGTCCCCAGCTCGGCCGGCCGGCTCCTGACCGCCCCCCCCCCTCCCCCCCCCCTCCCCTCTGCCCCCCGTCCGCAGACGCCGACTTTTCGCTTCTCTCCCCGCACGAGATCTTCCGGCCGCTGTATTTGGCTTGCATCCTGCCGTCCTTCTCTTCCCGCATCGTGGCCCGCGCCTTGGACACCATTCAGCGCCTGGCCCTGGCCGGGGTTTTTTTCTCCCGGTCGGATCTGGCCCCCTTGCCGCCGGACCCGGCGGCTCAGGCCGCTGACCAGGCGGCCTCTCAGCAGAGCCGCGGCCTGCGCGGGGCCTTCTCCCCCGAGGTGGGCCTGGCGCGTGTCATCGATCTCCCGCCCGAGGCGGCGCTCATCGACCAGGTGGTGGCCACCGTGTGCAGCTGCTATGTCGGGCCCCATACCGAGGACCAGATCGAGCAGCAGGTCCTCAAGGTGCGTGGCAATTGGCATGGCCCCTCCCACCGGATCTCTGCCCCTGTACGCGCGCTAACCCCTCGCCGGCTGCTGCCGACACACATGCACACACACACACACACACACACACACACACACACACACACACACACACACACAGTGCATTAGCTCCCTGGTGACCTCGCCCAACAGCACAGTGCGCGGTGCGTCGCTCCTGCTGACCATCCGGTGCTGCCTGGTCATCGCCTCGACCTCGGTCGGATCGTCGACCACGGCGGCCGCCAGCCTGGCATCCTTCAACGCGGCCATCGACAGTCTCGGCTTGGCCTCGACCAGCTCACTGCGGAGCCTGTCCTCGGGGACCTCTTCCGAGCCGGGGTCCCCGCACCCGGGGTCCGCCTCGCCTGCTGCCGGCCCTGCCGCCGCCGCCGCCGCTCCCGCCACCAGCTTCACCTTTACGAGCGCGATGGTGCCGCCGCAGCTGGGCGGCGCCCCGCCGGCCAGCATCAACCACATGACCGCGCGCGCTCTGCTGGAGCAGATCATGCAAGTGGTCCTGTCCCGGGTCAACACCGATAAGGCCTCCAGCCTGTCGAAATTGTCCTCCTGTGTGCGTCCTTCCTCCTCCCCTCCCCCTCCCTCCCCCCTTCCCTGTCTCTCGGGCCCTTTCTCCCTGTGGGGCCTTTTCCCTTCCTTCCGTCGGCTTGACCGGTGGGTGTCTGCTCCGGCCTTCCGCTCACATGTCCGCCCCTTGGCGTTACTCCTCTCCCGACCCGTGGCCGCACCCCCTGCTGCCGCCCTCCCCCTGCTGCCGCCCTCCCCCGCCCCCGCCCCCGCCCCCGCCCCCCCCCCCCCCCCCCCTCTGCCGCTTGTCCGCTGTCGCCGCCATCGCCTCCATGTCTTCTGCCGAGAGTCCCCCC